CGACAACGAGGTGAGAGACACTGGCACTCTCCCGAAGGCCCCGTGTGACCTTTGCCAGCTGCACTGTGGCAGGTGGCGAGGATCGACTCCCTCGCCCTGCTCGCGCGCCCTCCCGCTCACTCCTCCACGCCGCGGGATCAGAAGAGCGAGAAAAGAAAGAAAACAGGGAGAGGCCACGGGGCGATAACGGAAGACGAGAGAGTCGAACGGCGTCCCGAGCCGGAGGAAACCGAAGGAAATCGGTCGATGCAGCCGCGAGAAAGCACTGATTGACGACGATTAGAAGACGAGACAGGCGACATCCCTTCGCGGCGGGCAAAGCAAAGCATCGAATATCAGGGATAACGAGTTCTAATTGCTTACAAGGGAGGGCTGTCTGACTGAGTCACGGACGCACGCACGCACGCACGCGCACATATCGGAGGCTAGAGAAGATGGAGAGATATAGATGGATAGATAAACGTACTGGATAGGCAAAGGAAAAATATAGATAAACAGGTATATATGTCGACAGTCACGATGAGACATACTTTTAGATAAACGAAAGATAATTTCAAAGGGAGAATAACAGGAGAGAGAGAGAGAGAGAGAGAGAGAAAGAGAGAGAGAGAGAGAGGAGTGGAGAGAGAGAGAGAGAGAGAGAGAGAGAGAGAGAAGAGAGAGGAGAGGGAAGAGGGAAAGCAACAAAAGAGACAAGACACAGATCGAGATAGACAGAAGGAAATGAAGAGAGAGAGAGAGAGCAGAGAGAGAAAGACGAGAGAGAGAGAGAGAGAGGAGAGAGAGAGAGAGACGGAGAGAGAGAAGAATGAGAGAGAGAGAGAGAGAGGAAATCCAAGAGCTGCAGCCATCCGTGAGGTGTGGTCGACTGGCAATCAGGCAAGCGCAATTTTTACCCGACGAGGAATTGAAATAAGGAATGGATTCGCCTGGGTTACCACCATCCAGGTCACCTTCACCCTCCTCCTCTTTTCCGCCTCCCCACATCTCATACCACTCCTCTCATACCTTCTACCCCTAGCTTCATATTAATAGAAACGCTAAATAGCAAAAATAAAAAAACAGAACAAGCTAAAAGCTTCAAAAAAAAACCGACAAGCCTTTCCACAACTCATTTGCTCGATACACTCTCGCTTGACCCCCTACGGCGTCCCATATTTTGGTCTCCGGCATCCCTCCTCCTCCCGCCCCTCGACCTGATACTAGCCTCTCCTCCCCCCCTCTTTCACCCCCTCCCTTACCTCCAGAGTTTACATCGACTGATATTCTAGAGCCTGCTCCGACTTCGAGCCGGCGCGATCACCCAGCCATCGGTAGTTGCCGGATTTCCGCGGCGGGAATTTAATTCAGGGAACGAATAACTTCTCCTGTATGGTATTTGTGGTTTAGATACAAATCTTCATATCTCCAGCTGATTAAGAAATAAAGACCAAATGGAGAAACGGATACAAAAAAAAGAAAACCACACTAGCCGATATACAAGAACCTCAAAACACCGTGTGTTTTGAGGGTCATCGTTATCTACTCCCAGACTTGCATGTAGACGACCAGGTGCCGCCGTGAATTTCCTCTTTCTCTCATTAAGAAAACAGTGAATTGTGGAAAGTTGTCCTTGACAAAGATTACACACATTTTTGATGGGTTTCTGCAAATATTAACGCCACCAGAAAAGATCTAGCGCTCTGAATCCTTGGCGGACATATTGAGGGGTGACAGAATACTTCGCCCCATGGATATTGATCAGACCAGAAAGGAAACTCGTACTAGGCAAATGACGAGAAATAAAAATAATAAAGATCGATGATTATTTCATGGAGATCAGATAGTAAGCAGGAAAACACAGTCATAGGAGGATATGCTATAAAACATCAAAATATAAAAAACGCCACTGAACTCTGAAAGTCCTGAAACTATGTCTGCATTCAGCTCGCGGAAATCAGAACACGGAAATCGGAATAAAATACCTAAATGATCAGGGTAGATGAAAAATGCTGCGGTATTTAATGTTGGATTTTATGCATTCAGTGGGCTTATTAACTGGAAGTCAATAAGATTTACAAACCAGCTAAACAGGAAAGCAAAGGAGAGGCGGAAATGTTGACCCCTGCCGGCCGACAATGAGCCGACCAAGAACTGACCTCTTCTTTTCCCTTTGTAACATGCTCCCGCTCCCATATTATGATGAGAGAAGAGAGAAGAGAAGCAGAGAGAAGAAGAGAAAGAGAAGAGGAGTAACACAAGGAGAGGAGAGGAGAGGAGAGAGAAGAGGAAGAAAAAAACGTGTTTTGGTCTGTCTGCAGTGCTGCTGTAGGGGAATCTTTTTTATCCTCTTTCCTCTCATCAATTTTCTATTGGCCCTGAAAATGAGACGAACCCCACATGTACGTGGATGTATTAGCTGTGAAATGAACTGGAACAGAAAATCCAATATCAGCATCGTGGCCCTACTGCCATTAATGAGAAAATGTGTAAAGCTTCAACACCGTCCCCCCGAAAACAAGCGGTTACCAAAAAAAGTATCAAATTGAAGTGGTAAGATGTAAACGCCGCGAAACATGAGCCTAGAAAAAGAAAAGAAAGCGCATATTTTGTATTCTTCATTGTTGATTGTTGGTTTGTTGTTTTTGAGTTTCTTTTTGGTTATTATTATAATTGATTGTTGTTGCAATTCACTCACATTAATTATTTACCGTATTATATTATATTTAATTAATTATGTATTCTATTAATTAATTAATATCATTCGATATATATTATCAATTAATTATTATATTATTAATTTATTTATTATATTAATATATTGTTAATGAATTATTTTATTATTATTATCTCATTATATTTATTATTATTTATATTCATTATCTATCCATTACTTCACTCACAATATTATGTTATTGAATCATTACTTATCTTCTCCACTCCTCCCCCATACCCCCCCTCTCGCTTATGCTATCTCCCTCTCTCACCTATCATTATTTAGCTATTTATTTAATTATATCCCTTCGATTTACACCCACCTTCTCCCTTTCCTTCCTCCTATTTTCACTCCCACTCATTCCGCCATTCTCCCACCTCATTACTTCCCCATTTCACAGCTGTTCAATGTTTCGATCGACCATATCGTGGAGTGATTACTCTTTTGGTGTGATGGATATTGTGGTGACCCATATTTGCTCGATTGTGATGTGCGGATATTGCTTTAACGGTGTGTGTGTCTGTAGTCTTATGATGTGTCTCTTTGATGTGGTGCGTTCTATTGACGGGTATTATGTCTTATGGATCGATGTCTTGGATGTGTCTTTGGACTGTTTGTGTTTTGGATGTGTTTTGGTGGTATTTGAGATGGTTTGCTTTTGGATTGTGCTTGATTCTCTTTGGGATAGATGTCCATTTGGGATGTGATATTTGAATGTTGTCCTTTTGATGTGTCTTGGGACTGTCTTTGTCTTTGGATGTGTTCCCCTTGTGTTTTGGATTGTCTATTTGGATGTGTCTTGGGACGTGTCTTTGTCTTTGATTGTCTTGTGTTTTTGGATGTGTCTTTGGATGTGTCTTTTGGATGTGTCTTGTGTTTTTGGATGTGTCTTGGATGATGTGTCTTTGGATGTGTCTTTTGTCTTTGGATGTGTCTTTTGGATGTGTCTTGTGTCTTGGATGTGTCTTTGACTTTGTGGGATGTGGTATGTCTTTGGATGCGCTGTGTCTTTCATTTGTATTTAGATGTGCCTTGCATGTGTCTCTGAATGTGTCTTACATGTGTCTTGTATGTGTTTATTGTACGTGTTTTTGGATGTGTCTTGTATGTGTCTGTTGTTTGGATGTGTCTTACGATTTGTCACACAAGAGACAAACACAAACCATGCACACACACACAAACACACACACACACACACACCACACACACACACACACACACACACACACACACACACACACACACACACACACACACACACACACACACACACACACAACGCAAACATACACACATACCCACACCCACTCCTTCAAATCAGCATCCGACCTGAGACCTAAGCTTCTCTTACCGACAGATTAGATATCCCCCCAACTCCCCCCCCCACCCCCACCCCCTCGCCACTCCCACAAAGATAAGTTATCAGGGTAAATTTCTTAATATTCTACTGACAGAACTAAACCTCATTTGATTTTCTCTAAGTCGGTGAGATTGTAGTATGAGATGGTGGGGGGGAGGGGGGGGGCGAGCAGATTAGAGAGGAAGGGAGGGATGGAGGGAAGGAGGAAGAAAGACGGAGGAAGGGAGAGGAAGGGAAGGGAGGGAGGGAGGAAGGTGAGGAAAAAAATGTGAATCAGCAGGAGAGAGAGAGAAGAGAGAGAGAGAGATCGCATCAGATCGGTAGATATATATATATATATATGATATATATATATAGTATACTATATACTATATATGTATATATATATATATATATATATATATTATTTATATTATAGTATATATATATATAATAATATTTATATTTATTAATTTATAATTCAATATTACGTATCGACATTTATTTGAAGGAAACAGAGGGACTAGTAGAGAGAGAGAAGAGAGAGAGTAAGATGAGAGAGTTATGTACGAGCCATCTAGATTAGAAGGATGAGAGAGATGATGAGAGAGAGAGAGGATAGAGATTGAGAATGAAGCCAGAGAGTTAGAGGAGTAATAAGACGGAATGAGAGAGAAGGATGAGGAATGATGAGATGTAGAGACTTTGACTTTGGAGGATCTTGAGAGAATGGATAAGAAAGAAAAGAGAGAGAAGAGAGAGAAGAGAGAGAGATGAGAGAAGAGAGTAGTAGAAGTAAGAGGATGAGAGATGAGAGAGATGAGGAGTATGAGAGAAGAAGGGAGAGGAGAAGGAATAGGATATGGGATGAGAGAGAGAGGAGAAGGATGTTTAGATGAGCGGCTTGGAGAGAGAGAGAGGGAGAGGGAGAGAGACAGAGAGAGAGGAAGGAGACAGAGAAAGATG